ATCTTTTCTTCTTCAGAAACATTTTCTGGCTCTGCATCTTGGTCATTTGTTTGAGCCCTACTTGTTTGTCTTTTGGTCATTTGTCACTTTTCTTTGTGTGAGCTAAAATTGTCTGCTGTCTCTGGGGCACTATGGGGTTGTCGTATTTATAAAAACAAACAACTGTACAGTTGTTGGACCCAGAGGAGAGAAATCTCTAGTGGGCTCCTGCAATACAAGGAATCCTGGTGTGGTGCTGTAAGATAAGCACTTAATAGCAAGATCAGTTTGAACTACAAGGTCAGTGGTTCAAACTCACCACTCCTTGGAAGCCATATACAGGGTCATTATGGGTTGGAACTGACTCAATGACACTTAACAAAAACGAGAATGAAGGGACCAGCTGGTTTGAAGTGCAGGGACGTGTGTGTATACTCCCGAACTTGCAGCTGGTACCCATTTGACCTAGCTTGGATGGCTAGAGCTGAGCTGACCAGATGACCCCAGAGAGGATGATCAGAATATTTTCAGAAGTGATGCTGACTGAAAGGGTTTGGCCAGGGCTCAATAGCTTCCAAGGCACATCTTCAGTTGGGTGTTATCTAGGCATTTTGTACAGTTTAACCACTTGGTTACCACCATTCTTGTAACCACCGTCTTTGTGACCGTAGCAAAAAATGAGATTACTGTTGTTACATGGAGGGGATTGCAATCATTGAGAAAAAACAAAGTTTGTGATTTGCTGTTTTTAAAACTGATGATCTTATCTGTAAAACTGCACTCAATTCACAAAAAACCTCCAAAAAAAAAAAAAAAATGATGATTGCATTGGGTAAATCTGCGACAAGACCTTTTAAAATGTTAAAACGCAAAGATGTAACTTTGAAGTCTAAGAAGTTATGTGTATGACCTAATATCCATTATCTCATTTACATTACCTCATATTCCATTTTAGAAAACTGGACAATTAATAAGAAAGGCAGCAGAATTGATGCATTTGAATTATGGTGTTGGCAGAGATTATTTATACCTTGGGCTACACAAAGTGAATGAACAAATTCGTCTTAAAAGAAGTACTGCCAGAATGCTGCTTGAAAGTGAGGATGGTGAGACCTTCTCACCTGTTTTGGCCATGTTATGAGGAAGGAACAGGTCATGGAGTACATCATGCAAAAATGGTCAGCGAAAGAGGACAGCCCTCAGTGAGATGTATTTACACAGTGTCTACAACAGGCTGAAGCATACTAATGGCTGAGAAAGAGGTGCAAGACTAGGACGTGTTCTGCTCTATTGTCACCATGACTCGGAAATGACCCACCAGAACCCAACAACAAAGAGTTGTTAACACTTGCATGTGCAGAGCAGAGACCTGAGTGTGCTCCCCGTAATAATCCTCTCCCTCCCTACATGCTGCCTCCAGAGCAGTAAGGTGAAAGCCAGTGGCAGGGACCTAAAAGGTCCCAGGCAACAAAGGCTGGGAAGATACTGTGCAGGAGTCTTCCATCTGATGAGGCAAGGTCCAGCAGAGCCCAGCTAAGTGGCAGCCAGAGGCAGCAGGGACATGAAAACAGCATCTGTACTGAACCATGACAAGCCAGGTCAGAGACATGTTCAATTCAGGAAAGGTCATTTCCCCTTTGAGAATCTGGTGTTAGTGTTTACTGTTTGCTTTCCATCAATAAAAATAATGGCTTTCACTTCACCAACAGTGAACAGATGAACACAGCACACATGGACCAGCTGATGCCAGTAGGTGTTGTGTCTCATTCTCAGCAGTCTTATTGCTGCCTGGAAATGTGACTATGCCAACACATTCGAGACACAACCTGTTTTCTGCACGTGCAATATAGACAGACCAATCATTATACCTGCCAATTTTGCCTCCCTTAAATGTTTGCTGTTATGTTGGGTCACGGTGCATGGTGGGGAAGGACTGTTTTTTGTTTAATGCTTATCGCAGTGATCACTTAGGCTATCAATTATTTCAGGTCAGGAAAAATCTTATTTTGGTGTTAGGAATGATACAATGTTCTAACTGAAAAGGACCCGCAGGTTCACTTCAATTTCTTTGTTGTTGTTGTTAAGTACCGTGGAGTCGGTTCTGACTCATAGTGACCCTGCACAGGGTTTCTGAGATTGTAAATCTTTACGGGAGCAGAAAGCCTCATCTTTCTCCCACAGAACAGCTGGTTAGTTTTCAACTCCCGACCTTGAGGTTAGCAGCCGATTCAAAACCAATACGCTACCAGACCTATTTAAGATTCCAAAAACCTTTTATCAGTTTTCCTTATTAAATTCCATTAAGCACTTACTCATAGTGACCCTACCTAGGGTTTCCAAGGAGCAGCTGGAGGGTTTGAACCACCGACCCTGTGGTTAGCAGTCCAGTGTTTATCCTACAGTACCACACCAGAATTCAAGTTTAAGACAAAGGTAATTTCACCAAGTACTTACAGCTGGTTCTCTTATTCAAATAAAATATGTATGTCTGTGTATGTGTTTTTTGTTTTGTTTTTTAAGCATCCCCTGGTGTGGTACTGTAGTTTAAGCACTGGACTGCTAACCACAAGATCAGCAGCTCAAATCTACCAACCACTCCTCAAAAACCCTATATAGTGTCACTACAGGTCAGAATCAACTTCTTGATGCCACTTAACAACAATGCAACTCTAGCTTCTCTAACTACTTGAGTTTCTAAAATTGAAAAAAAAAAAGTTTCTGGAATTCAAACCAAAATCAAGGCTTCTCAATATCTTCAGTTAAAATCATTTAAATTCCCCATCAAGGCAGACCACACAAACAATGTCTATACTTTACAACAAACAACTCTAAGTGATTGGTGTCTTTTGATTAGTGCTGTAACTATTACACAGCAGAATATGCTCAGCATTGATCGCATCCCTGGTCATCTTCAATAGCAAACATTATTCAGAATTGATTCTCCATGTAGAAGAGTTCTCACAGAAACACACTAAGTTACAAACAGACCCCAACTTTTTTTTATTGCTTTATAAGCCAGCAACAAATACAGCTGAATAATTATAAACATGACATTTCTAAATTCTCAAATAGAGTAAGAAGACCAGAATGTGCTCCTCCACTTAAAATATATCTGTTAAAACTAAAATCCACAACTTGTGCCAAGAACTTTAATATTCTCAAGAATAACCAATGCTTACAGAAGTAAAGAAAACTATTAGCAAACTTGCTGCATCTGTCTGATCATTGAAAAGCCTTTTCTATTCAATTAGCAATGCTACTGCAGCACATTTTAGGTGACTATCCTAGGCGCTGTTAAGAATCTAACACTTTATTCATTATATAAGCTCGTGTGAAGGAACTGTCAAGGAAACTGTTGTAAAACCCAGCAATGCCACTTTTCTATTCAGGACGGAAAGACTAGTGAGCCCTTCCTTTGGCATGAGATAAAAAGCTCTAATGGCTATGCCAAATATGCTACCATATAAACAGGAGGCCAACATTAGTGTTAAGGGTGATACGTCTAAATATTTCATAGAAGTCTAGAAAATACTAGTACCTTCCTGTTAGTGAGCTCCAAATGACTGTACGTTAAATCACCATCTTAAGTCATTTCAAATGAACAGACAACAACAAATCACCTGATATATATTCTTAGTACTTTCTGAAATAAGGGGAGGCCCAGCAGAATTTAAATGACCCAAATTGTAAAAATTTGTTGGGCTAGCCATCAACAATCTGAAATTTCTTACTCTAAAAACAATTAGCAAATCAAGCTAAATTTTTAAAATATTTTTCTTCCAAACGAAGAAACGAAGCATGGCATTTGTCTCAAAGACCGCAGTAGTCAGGGCGATGCAAATTAACACATGACTGGCTTTTTGCTGCCAAATCAAAACATACAGCCAGTTGCTAAAATAACAAAAATTTTAAGATGAGGGCCTTCACAGCTTAGGGATATATCCATAAAGTGTGAGTTCAAGACATGTGTGAGTACGATTTTTAAGATTACCAGAAGTCTGCGGCACTAGCAAAGCGTTACAGCAACATAAGAAGTAGAAGTGTTTGAAAACATTAAGCCCTACTCCCCACCTGGTTGTTGTTGTTAAGAGTCTTCGGGTCCATTCCAACTCATAGCTACCCTCTACAGGGTTTCCAAGGAACAGGTGGTGGGTTTGAACTGCCGACCTCGCAGTTAACAGTTCAGTGCTAATCCTATGGTGGTTGTGTTCCTTAAAACAGAACCAATAACAAGATCTTACTAAGCCACACAATGCAAGAACTTCCTGATAAACCTGCCTGCCTTTGCAGTTGAGATCTCTTGTACTTTCATGACAATGACAGAACCCTTGGACTAGCACCCTCTTGTTTAAAAAAAAAAAAAAAAAAAAAATCAACAATGAATTTACTGGGAAGCCCTAAATAAGAAAGAATATAAAATATTATTCTTTGCCTTCAAATGCCAATACTTCCTTTAAATTATTTTTAAACTCTATTCAGACTGTACCTAGGTCTGGGTGGCTAACTTGGGATATGTTGTGGTTAAGTGCTGTCAAGTCAGTTCTGACTCATAGTTACTCTACGTAAGGTTTCTGAGGAGCAGCTGGTGAGTTTGAACCACCGAGCTTGTAGTTCAAAATGACCTTGCTGCCACTGCTTATCCACATCAGGACTTGGGATAAAGAAACCGTCAAAGGTTACATCTAGAAGAATCACAACCAAGACCAAAAACTTGTCAATCAGTACATCAGGGTAAGCAAAAAAAGAACTTTACCAAGAAGAGATTTACATTTACAGTTCTTGACAAAAATGAAACACATTGAATTACAGAGCAAATTCACTGAAACAACAAAGAAGTTCTACCCTAGATCTTTTCCTTAACCCCTCAGAAAATGCTTTACTTCTGATATATCACACAACTGGTTAAGAAAATAAAATGCAGTGTTTAGCAACTGGGCATCCTAACTACGGTAAGAGGCACTGTGCTCACCCTCACTGGCGACCACTGAGGTAAACAAGGCCAGAAGCAGGAAAAACGCCTCTTATTTGTCTACATAAGAAGCTGATGTTTCCTTATTGAAGCCACGAATGGAAAGATCATAAACCACTTCTTCTACTTTCTTCACATCATATTTCAAGCCATCATAGCGCTTCCTCAATGAGTCATTCTTCAGATTGAGAAGGCGAAAACCGGAATCCAGCTCATTGATGAAGGTGGAGATGTGAAGGGGCCGGGAGTAGTCTCCAGCAGTCACACTATTGACTGACAAACGTGACTGTACAAGAAAAACAGAGAACACATGATACAATGGATGCTTCTTACTTAGCCCATCTACCCCCTAATCACAACTAAGAAAAGAATGTCACACCTATGCAGCTACACTGATCTTCTCTTTCATCCTGTGTGTAAACTAAGATGAAATTAAATTCCTCTACTGAAAAGAACCTTCATTAATAATGATGACATCATTTTAACCAAATATAGGTTTAACGCAATTAACATTTTCCAAAATCTCAATTTTGTGAATTGGCTGTTATACAATAAAGAGTATTATTCGTGTGTGAACTTTATTGCTCATTTCTGCTAATACGCAAATGCCAGAGTAATCACAGCCATTCTGCTATGTCTTCAAATCTAGGCCAAATGATTACATTTCTAGAGCCTTCCAACTGATCTCCAGTCACTAAACACCAGAAGACAGAGATGGTTTAATAAACTAAAATACAACCCAATCCACCATATAAATTTTTTTTAATGTTTTATTGTGAATTATGTGATAGTTTACATGGGAGAACATTAGTTTTACATTCATCCTATCGTATATCATTTCACTGCCATGGTTACAATCCCCTTCATGCATCCTCAACCAACCAAAGGGTATACCCTGCAAGCCTGCCCCTGGGTTGTCAGCACACAGCCCCTCTCCCTCTCTGGGTCTTGAGTCCCCAGCCACTCCATCTCTCTACGTCATCTTCTCTGCCTCCATCTCTGGCGTCACTGCTTCTCTGGGTAGGGTCCCGCTCTCCACTCTTCTCCCTTGATGGTCCCAGAGGCCTCCGCTCTTGGACTGCAAAGTCAATCACTCCCCTCCCTTTGCTACAAAATGTCTTACCTTTACATTTCCAACCATCACAGTCAGTCCTGATAATAATTATTCACTATTGTACAAGAGACATATCCCCATCTCCTTTCATCAGCCCAGCCCAGACAAACTGGATACTACTCAGTGGAGATTCTATCTTCCTCTGTACCCTCTGGATCTAGGCTCCCTCTTGAAAGCTTCTTGCCTTTGTAGCCCCCCCATTTTGGGTAGCCAATGTCCAAGCTGCCCATCCCTGTCTACTCTACTCTGTGTATGGAGGGGGTGGGAATGATCCTTGCTGTAAAGATTTGTTCCCTCTTTTGATAGATATAGGTCAAGTTCATCAAATTGTATCAGATTACTCTTTTTTTCTCTTCTTTCTCCTTCTAGTTGAGCTCTGATCATCCAGTTATTGAAGCCAGGTCAAGTGGGTATTACCTGCAAGTGTGGGTACTCTTACGCATATGCCCTCTCTTCTTATCAGCTAAACGCTTCACTCTCCACTCTAGTCCTTTGTGGCTATGTCACTGACTCTGGGCCCAAGAGTACCCAGGTCTTGCCACACTGCTGGCCCACCAGGTCTCCACCCGGGTTCACAGGCACCATATTAATTTTTTTAAAAAGGAACCACATGATTATATAGATTGATGCAGAAAAGGCATTGGACAAAATCCAATACCCATTCTTGATAAAACCACTCAATAAAGTAGGAATTGAAGAGAAATTCCTCAACATAATTAAGAGCATGTGTATAAAACCAATAGCCAACATCACTCTCAAAGGAGAGAAATTAAAAGCATTCCCTTTGTAAACCGGAACCAGAAAAGGATGCACTTTATCACTACTCCTATTGTGGATTAATGCACTGGACTGCAAAGTTGGTTTGAACCACAAGGTAAGTAGTTTAAGATCACCAGCTGCTCCTTGGAAACCTATACAAGGTTGCTATGGGTTAGAACCGACTCGACGGCATTAACAACATTCAAAACTGTGTTGGAAGTCTCAACCATAGCTACAAGGCAAGAAATGGAAATTATAGGCATCCATCCAAATGGACAAAGAAGAAGCAAAACTTTATTTGCAGATGATATGATCCTATACACAGAAAATCCTAAAGACTCAACAAAATTACTGAAGCTCATTGGAAGACACACAGAAGTGGCAGGGTACAAGGTTAATATACAAAAATCAGTTGAATTTCTCTATACTAACAAAGACAGCTCTGAAAAGGGAATTAGGAAAACAATACCATTTACAATAGTCACCCAGAGGATGAAATACTTAAAAATAAATCTAACCAAAGAAACAAAAGACCTATACAAAGAAAACTGAAACACACTACAAGAAACCAAAAGAGATTTCCAAAACAGGAAGAATATACCAAGCTCAAGTGTCGGAAGACGTAACATTGTGAAAATCTCAATACTACTTTTATATATATATACATACAACTTATATATATACATATAAATATATATATATATATAAAATTCAATCTCAATGCTGATTTCAACAATCTTTAAGAGACAGAAAAAATGATCACAAACTTCACATAGAAAGGAAAGATACCTCAGATAAGCAAAGCACTGCTTAAGTAAAAGAACAAAGTTGGAGGTCTCTCATTCCATGATTTCAAATTTTACGACAAAGTTACAGTGATTAAAACATCCTGGTAATGGTAAAATGAAAGAGAAATAGATCAATGGAACAGAATTGAAAACTCAGAAGTAAATCCATCCATATACAGTCAACTGATCTTTAACAAAGGGCCAAAACACATTAAATAGGGTAGAGATAGTCTTTTCAACAAATGGTGCTGGTAAAACTGGAAATCAATTTACAGAAGAATGAAACAAGACCCATATTTCACACCACATACAAAAACAAACTAATGTGGATTAAAGATATAAATGTAAAACCTAGAACTACAAAGATTATCAATGACAAAATAGGGACAAACTTAGTGGCTCTAACACATGGAATACAGAGACTATCAAAAGTTATAAAAAAATATACAAGCAGATGAAGGCAAAATAGATGACTGGGACCGCCTAAGAATTAGAAATTTATGTGCATCAAAAGATTCTTTCAAAAGAAAAAAGGGAACCCACATACAGGGAGAAAATTTTTTGCAATGATGTATCAGGCAAGGGACTAGTATCTAAAATTTATAGAAAACTGCAACACCTCTACAAGATAAAGACAAATAACCCAATTTAAAAAAAGGTACAGGACATGAAAAGACACTTCACCAGGAAAACATTTAGACACCCAACAAATATATGATGAAATGTTCACACTCATTACCCATTATAGAGATGCAAAACATTACAACAATGAAATATCACCTCGCACCAGTATTAACAACGAAGTTCAAGTAAACAGAAAACAACAAATGCTGGCAAGGGTGTAGAGAGAGTGCAACCCACCTATACTGTAGAAGGGACTGCAAAATGGTTCAACCACTCTGGAAAATGGTATGGCACTTCCTCAGAAAGTTGTAAATAGAAATATCTTCTGACCCAGAATCCCTCTACTAGGTATATACCCACAAGAAATGCAAGCCAGGATACAAGTAGATAAATGTATACCAATGTTCATGGCAGCATTAATCACAACAGAAAAGACATGGAGACAGCCTATCAATGGAAGAATGGATAAACAAACTTTGGTACATACAATGTAATACTATGCAACAATGAATCTGCACAACACCTCATAATATGGATAAACCTGGAGGACATTAAGTGGAGAGAAATTAATCAATCAAAAAAAAAGCAGTATTACAAAAGCTTAAGAAATGTTTCCATACTGAAAGAAACATTCTTTGATGGTTCCCAGAGGTGGGAGGGAGGACAATTTATTGACTAGATGATAGACACACGTTAGCTCAGGGTAACAGGAAGGAAAGTACCCAAGGAGAGGGAGGACAATACACAAGAGGGAAGGTGGCAGATGAACAATGAAGCTAGGGGAAGACAGGGAAGTATGCACGGGCTAAATGGGATACAGGTAGTGATTTACATACACCTTAGAACAACAATGTCCTGTGAGTAGAGATACAGATTCAGTCATAGACTGAAAGGGTAATGCTGTTGTTGTTGTTGTTATGTGCAGTGGAGTTGGTTCTGACTCATAGCGACCACGTACAGGGTTCCCGAGGCTGTAAATCTTTATGGGAGCAGAAAACCTCATCTTTTTTCCCGCGTAACAGCTGCTAGTTTCGAACTGCTGACCTTGAGGTTCGCAGCCTGATTTGTAACCACTACACTACTAGAGCTCCTTGAAAGGGTACTTACTGGAGGAGGAAATAAAAAAGGTTTATGTGTTTTATTTTATTATGAATATTGGTTTCCCCTGCCTATTTTAAAATACACAGTTACACGAGTAGTGTGGTGCTGTGGGTTAATGTGCTGGGCTGCAAAGTCAGTTTGAACTGAAAGTTCAGCAATTCAAGCTCACCAGCTGTTCCTTGGAAACCCTATGCAGGCTCACTATGGGTTGGAATCAACTCTATGACACTTAACAACAACAAATGTGTGATAGAAATCAGTATTAAGAATTTTAATTAAAGAAAGCTTGTAAGCCTGCCTTCAGCCTATAGATTGGTTTTGTTGAAACGGGAGTTAGAATTTCCCAGTGAACTAGGTTTCTTATAATACCCTTGTAAAGTATGGGGCCTTAAATGGAAACCTGAGCCCCACCCAAAACCTTCGAGACATTCCCACTAGAATAGACATGCAGAGAAATCCAGAACTGCTGGGAGAATGGGATTCTTATTGAAAGACAGACCTACAGAAAAAATCAGAATGTTTAAGTTTTAAAACTAAGACTTGCTTAAGTTTAAGTTAAGTTAAGTGCCTTCGAGTCGGTTCCGACCCATAGCGACCCTGTACAGGGTTTCCGAGGGTGTAAATCCTTACGGGAGTAGAAAGCCTCATCTTTCTCCCGCGGAGCGGCTGGTAGTTTCGAACTGCTGACCTTATGGTTCGCAGCCCGATTCGTAACCACTACGCTACCAGAGCTCCTTAAAGCAAGCTATTTTCCTTAGAGACATCAAGACAAGAAAAGTCAGCTCCCCATCATGGAAAACCCTCTTCTAGGACTGAAACGCAAAGGGAACCCTTGAACAGTCTAGTATGCTCACTGGTGACCACCTGGGTCTACTTGTGTTTGGAAGTGGGGGAATGTAGCAATGAAGACATGGGCTGAGTTTGGTTGGTCTGAAGTTTTGGGAAATGTGTGAACTCCTGAGCCTATGGACACTGACCCTGGGGACTAGGGCTGAATGAAGTGGCCAGCTGATCTGAAGTGCAAGGAGTTGTTTGTGAACTCCCATCTGGCTTGGATGGCTAGGACTAAGCTGACCAGAACCCGACCAGATGAAGATAAAGATGTCTGATACTGTTAGCAAACATAAATTGCTACAATTTGAAGAACTGAACTTTTGCTTATGCATACAGTTGCCCAAATTTCCAACCAGAATGGAAGGTTCTTCAGCTCAAGGAACAAGTTGTGTTGATAGAGATGGGCAATTTAGACATTGGCTATAAAAAATGGGAGGGCCTATAAAGGCATGAAGTAGCTGGCTTACAAGCGTTCATAGGTGTGCTTAGTTTCAGAATGAGGGGAATAAAGTAGACTCCCCACTGAATAGTTTTCCTCTTTTCCAGATAGATCTGGTGAAAGGGAATGGGAGATGATGGTAACAGGATGTCATGATTCAATTATGAGTAATTATTAGCAGGATTATTGTCACATCTGTTATTATAGAAGACGTGTAACTAAAAGGGGGGAGTAGTTAATCTTTCATCTCAGGAACAGACAATCCCAGGACCATCAAGAAGGAAGAGCAGGAGTGGCAGAGGTCCCTATCTAGAAAAGCAGTGACGGCAGACACAGTGGCATGGAGAGACAGAGCAGCTGCTGGCTCTACACCCATGAACTAAGTAAGGCTGTGAGCCTATGGGATGGAAGCTGGCATACAGAATGTAATCTTTGGATATTTAAATTAATACATACTTTTTGTTTTGTTTTGTAATGTGTGCATCAAATATTTTTGCTTTGTTTATTTGTGAAATAAAAGCTATAAATGGGGAACAGGGAAAAAGTAGGAGAACTAATGTTGCAGGGAGGTGACTAATCACTGAGATGCAACAAAATGTTATCATTTGCAATAAAATGTATCAGACAAAATCAAGCTAATGATTTCATCTGTAAACCTTCACTCAATTCACAATAAAAAGTTAAAAATATGTAATGTACATATATTGAAAAGTAGAAGTAAACTTGATCAAGTCACTTCTACACCCAACCACCAATTTCCAGGAAATACAGAGAAACACATTAGCTTATTAATTTGATGGTTGTTGTTGTTAAGTGCCTTTGAGTTGTTTCTGATTCATAGCGACCTTGTATAGGGTTCCCAAGGAGGAGCTGTTGGGTTTGAATAGCCGACCTTGTAGTTTGCAGTCCAATGCTTATCCTACAGCGCCACACCAGGAGTTCAGTCTCTTGGTAGTTATGTTAATTCATGTAATAGTTTTGGAGAAAAATTTAACAATATATAGATTATTGAGAGATTGTCACACAGAAATCAATTCAGAAGGAGAAAAAGGCTATTAGTGTTCATGATGTTGCTGTTGTTGTTAAGAGCCGTAGAGTCAGTTCCAACCCACAGGGACCCTGTATAGAGTTTCTGAGGAGTAACTGGTGAGCTTGAACCACCGACCTTGCAGTCCAGAGCATTAACCCACAGTGTCACACCAGGACTCCAGTGTTCATGATAGCATCATTTATATTTATAAAAAATTGTAGAGCCCTGCAAGTTTTACAAAAGGAAGATGATTTAGTAAATTATTAAGTAAATTAGTAATAGTAAACAATTGTTTAGAATAGCAGTTAGGTAGACTTATAAGCACAAAGCTACCTCATCCTCTGAAATGGCATTTATTTGATGACTAGTGTGGCGAATGCGCTGGACTGCAAGGTCAGTTTCAACCATAAGGTTGGTGGTTCAAGCTCACCAGCTGTTTCTCGGAAACCCTATACAGGGTTTCTATGAGTTGGAGCTGACTCAATAGCACACAACAAACAACAACAACAAAGCAAGGCGTACCACACACTGCAGTCACAGACTACATGCTTACTGAGATGGCTAGAAAATTATGTTGCTACTGTTGTTAGTTTAGTCAAGTCAGTTCAGATTCATAGTAACCCTGATACCAGGACGCTAGAATTTTTGTATTCATTTAAAAACTGACAGTGCAGTGGGAAGATCAAAAGCAAAAGGCAATTTATTGAATTTCTTACCAGTTCACTAGCAAGAATTAGAACTCCTGAGAGATAATCTTCTACATCCAGATGAAATCCTTTCTCCCGATCTGGCTCAACTAAAAACAAAGCAAAGTCAAGTGAAGGTCATCAGTGAATGAAATGTAAGATATTCTGTATCTTTATATTTCATTTTTCTCAAACCAAGTGAAAAAAGGATCAACCTTTCAAACAGGTTTCTTACACATTTTCACAACCTTGGCAACAAGACCACTTAAAGCAAAATTCAATTTTTCTTCCATTCTTCTCTCAAACAGAAATGCCACCAAGGTGGGCCCTGTAATTATGTCACAGAGCACCACTGTTTTAAATGTGGTCTGAACAACTTAAGGGAGAAGACACAATGCCTGCAACTGACTCTCAAATGGTTCACCACGTACACACACAATACTGTGAAACAGAACTACTGAGCAGAGACAGTAAAAAGTGAAGTGGTGAATCGCAGTAGCATGCAAACAGGTATTCACTGTACTATTCTTTAACTTTTCTGCTTGGCTGACATTTTTTTTTGTTTGGTTGGTTTTTTTTTTGGGGGGGGGACAGTACATGCCATTTTGTTTTTGTTTTTTTAAAATGTTTTATTGTAAATTATGTGATAGTTTACATGGGAGAACATTAGCTTTACATTCATCCTATGTATATCGTTTCATTGCCATGGTTATGATCCCCTCCATGCATCATCAACCAACTAAAGGGTATATCCTGTAAGCCTGCCCCACCTCCCACCCCCACCACGGTCATCAGCACACAGTCCCTCTCCCTCTCTGGGTCTAAAGTCCCCAGCCGCTCCATCTCTCCACGTCATCATCTCTGCCTCCATCTCTGACATTTTTAAAAACTAAAAGCTGCAAAGAAAGTCCACTCATAAAAACATACCCAAGTAAAAATTAAGCACTAGGTAGTCTCAACTTTTGTGTTTCCAAGTACCTGGTTTTCCATTTGGCTCTCATTCTTTTGTTTTAATTAAAAGAAAGCACAAGCAACAAGCCCTCCCACAAAAAGCTAAGCTCCCATACTGGATTATGGAGATCACCACTAGTGAGGATACTTACTGCCAAGAATTTCTGTAACAGCTTCTCGAGTCACTAGTGTTTCTGATTCCAAATATACAACAAACGCTGCCAAGAAGACCAAGCGCTGTAACACAAACCTCCAGTGCTCATGGAATCTGTATCAGGTAATCAATCAGGTTTAGGGAGAGTGATTAGGGTTTAAAGGCCTTAAGAAAGAAAGACTTAATATAGCCACATTCAAACATTTTAAAAATAGAATCTTGTTTCAAGTAAAATCTCATTTGAAACCACAATATATAAAACATAAAGATGATTATCAGAGACAACTATAATTGTACATCAATCTCATCATCTAACCTGCTATGATTGTTAAGTGCCATCAAGTCGGTTCTAACCCACAGTGATCCTACACACAACAGTATGAAATGCCACCATCCTCACAATTGCTGCTACACTTGAGTCTATTCTTGCTGCTACTGTGTTGATCCATCTCATTGGGGGTCTCTCTGTTTTTCACTGTCCCTTTACTTTACCTAACATGATGTCCGTCTCCAGGGACTGGTCCCTCCTGATAATATGTTTGAAGTATGAGAGATGAAGTCTGGCTGTCTTGGCTTCTAAGGAGCATGCTAGTTGTACTTTTCCCAATACAGATTTGTTGGAAGAAGTACAACAGTATGCGCCTTAGGAGAGCAATGATATAGATCAGAGACAAAGAAAATTATCAGGGACAGCTATTGTTGTTGTTGTTGTTGTTGTTGTTGTTAGGTGCCATTGAGTCGGTATTGATCCATAGCGACCTTATGCACCGCAGAACAAAACACTGCCCAATCCTTGACCAACCTCACTACTGCTGCCACACTTGAGTCCATCGATGCTGCCACTTGGCCAATGCATCTCGTTGGGGGTCTTCCTCTTTTTCTTCTGATCCTCCACCTTACTAAACATGATATCCTTCTCCAGCGACTGGTCCCTCCTTCCTTTGCATCACCAGTAATTATCAGTAATTAACATTCTTGATTGTATGTTTGATCAATTTTGGACAACTATAAGTATATATAAATCTCAACATCTAACTTACAATATTTTAACGTAAGGGTATGCTATCAAGAAAATCCTGATTCACACACAAGAGAAACCACTACCATCTGCAATTACTACACAGATGGACTTAAAACCTAGTGAAGTTGTTGTTAAGTGCTATTGACTCGATTCCGACTCATAGCAACCCTATACAGGGTTTCTGAGAAACAGCTGGTGAGTTTGAACCACCAACCATCTGGTTGAAACCGACTTTCCTGTCCAGTGCTCTACCCAGTGCCACACCGGGACTCCTAAAATCTAATGATACTGCAGTTAAACTGAGCTAGAATACTTAAAGTAGAACAGTAGATTTTCACCAGCGATTCCTCAGAAACCCTATACAGGGTCACTATGAGTAGGAAACAGCTAGATGGCATTTAATATCAAGATATTTAAGTTACAAAGATTTTCAAATGTGGTGACAAACTAAAAATTTTTTTCAATAAAATAACAGGTCAAAAAAAGCCTACTGAGAGTCAAATCCGGGCAGAGGGCAATCTGTGTGAGATCCAAGTTAAATGGCCCTGAAGATCCTTTCAACTTTACTGTCCTACTTCTCTGCGCTTTACCTATTACCTTAAAGCAGGGGCCAAAAACGCTTTCTGTAAAGGGTCAGTAAATATTTTAGGCCTTGCAATCCATTTCTGGTCTTTATCATACATTCTTCTTTGGGTAGTTTTCCTTTTTTACCAACCATTTAAAATATAAAAGCATGTAATAGGCCATCTAATGTTCAAATATTGGTGCCTTTCCATTCAAATTATTAGTCTCTTCCCATTCAGAGTAAAGAAGATTGAAGAGGATCAAAGACACAATGAAACAATTATTCCAAACGATTAATGGATCACATGCTATTCATCATGTTTCAATATTCTGGTGCTGAAAGTGTTCCACTGCTATTCATATGTAGCAACAATTGTGAGGTTAGAGCACGACAAGGTAGTGTTTAGTTCTGTTGTGCATAAGGTTGTCATGAGTTGGCACCAACTCGATTGTACCTAACAACTACAAAAGCAATGAACCACAAGAGCCACAGTAGCCACAACCTTGGAACCAGAAAAATTAGATGGTGCCTGGCTACCCTGATCAATTGCTCTGGAAGGGGTCATAGTACAATTTCCCAAACACAGTGGCAGAAAAGTGTCGAACACCATTTGTATGTCACTGTGATGTTGGAAGCAATGTCACCGGCATTTGAAATACCAGCAGGGTCAGCCATGACTACTGGACCATGAAAATCTCTCCACAACTATGAGACCAGAAAGAATTAGACAGTGCCCAGTTACCCCTACCAATTGCTCTGAAAGGGGTCACAATAAAGGTCCTGGATTGGTACTGTTGTTATAAGTTTTGTCGAGTTAATTCTGACTCATAGCAACCCTGTACAGGGTTTCCAAAGAGCAGCTGGTGGGTTTGAAGAGCCAACCTTGTGGGTAGAGTATGAGAAAAATATAGGTCAAAATCCAATCATACACACAGGTTTCTAATTTTTAGGAGGTCCCAGAAATCTATTTTGTTCATGAGTCTTCCTCCAATCCAGCCCTTACTATCCTCAAAGAAGAGCAAGTGCATTGTCATGATGGAAAAAATTCCTCAGCACAACTATCCTGGCCTTTTGCTCACCAATGCAGTATTCACTTTATTAAAACTTAAATAAGCCCCCGTGATCATCCTGGGTCATTCAAGAAAATCTATCAAGATTATCCCTTTGGGGGTCCCAGAAAAAAAACAGTTGCCATAACCTCCTAGGCTGACCTCTCTACCTTGACTTTAACTGGCCCAGCAAATTCCTTTGGAAGTCTTTGTTTTGACTGAACCTTGCTCTCTGGATCGTACTGGTATACCCTGTACTCATCCTGGTTATAAATCATTCCTTGAATTGATCTGCAATAGCTTCATTCTTGCTTACAAGACTGATAGAAATATCAGCAATGCTTCTAGCACATAGCAAGCCAAAAGTCTGCTGAGGTCAAGATACTTACTTAATACTGAAAACGCTAGAACTAAATGAGATCCCAACTTCAGCAGCTATCAAATCAATGGTAATTCTACAGTCTTCTTTCACCAATTTCTAGACTTCAGTGACAGTTTTGAGGCTGATGTTCTTCACTCTCTTGGTTTCTGAAGTCTTCCGGATGACCTTCCTTAAAATACAGGATCCATCTAAAACTGTCATTTTATGAAGGGCAGCATGCCCAAAAACTTATCTCAAGGTTTCACTGATCTAGGAAGATGACCATTTGAGGTTTTTGGATTTGTTTAATCTGGTATTAATCCTGACCTTAAAATCATTATTTCCATGGCACAAAAAGTATCCTTCCTTTTTAAGGCAAGATAATGAAATGAAGACAAATGTATTATTGAAATACTTCTTCTACCAATTGCACAGACATATTTAAACACCTTCTGACTGGAATAAAACCATGCATATATTAACTGGAATTTGTAGCAATACTTTCTGACTTATTCTCATGTATCTTTGCAAACTTTTTTTTTTCTTAAGTAAGAAAACAAAATTAAGCAGAAATTCTTACTTTCTATATTCAAGCAATACTCAAGTTCTTCACTTGGAACAAAATTCAAACTTTGAGGTAAAACTTGACTGGGTATACACCCTGCCACGTGTCCTAGACTCTGCTAGTGGGGTGGGTTACACACTGTGCTGCTAACTGCAAGGTCAGCAGTTCATACCTACCGGATGATCTGTGGGAGAAAGATAAGGCTTGCTGATCCCAAAAAGATTTACAGCCTTGCTGTGATACAGGGATCAAGGCTTAGTCTGAAGAGGGGCAATAATACTAAAATGCTTGACTGTCTTATGAATATTGGTTTCCCTTGCTACTATTGTAAAATAGACACTTGAGTGGGATAGAAAGGAATGTCGGGAAACATGATGACTTAACGTCTGTAAGCCCATCTTCAGCCTATAACTGATTGGAATACCTAAAAGGGGTTCTACAATTTGCCCAGTGAAATAGGACTCTTGCAGAGCCTTTGCAGTGTATAGGACCTCAGGTGGAGTCCTAAGCCCCATCCAGAACCTTCTGAGGTGGGACATTCCCACTAGAAAGGACAAGAAAACCAGCCTGGAACAGCTAGAGTAACACAAGATACATCTTCAAAGAAAGATCATCAAGAAAAACCCAAAACAAAAATGTCAGCATGACTGGCTACTACAAGAATCAGCAAGTTGTTCTCCAGGAGGCCATCAAGTCAAGCAATCAAGTCCATTCAGGACAAACCCCCTCTAAGACTGAAATTCAAAAGGTACACATGAGCAGGCATGTTTAAGCTTGCTGATGACCACACTATCTACTAGTGAGTGAAAGAGGGGGAAAGACAGCAATGAAGAAATGGGCTGAGTTAAACCATGTTCCATAGATTCCCATTGACCTGAAGATGAGAGAGAGAAGAGGAAGGACTGGTTGGTCCAAAGTGTGGTGAGACCTGGGGACACCTGAGCCCGTGGACAAGGACAAAGCCACAGGGCTAGAGGTGAGAATGAAGTGTCCAGCTGATATGAAGTGAGAGGACACACACAAGAACACCCAAACTTGCAGATAGTACTCATCTGACCTAGCTTCCATGACTTAATAATCAGAACTCGACTAGAGGAAGTTTGGGAAAAAAAAAAAAAAAATTGATAAAGGAAACAAGGATAAATTGCTACAATTGGATGAACTTGATCTATACTCATGGAGGTAGTAGTTCTAAATACTGACAGAGAAGGAAGGTGTCGTCACATCATGTATCAGTGCTATCCCCTCTGTACACAGGGTAGATAGGGATGGGCAACTTAAACATTGGCTACCTAAAATGGGACGATAAAGGCACAAAGTGACTGACTTACAAAGTTTCAAGAGGGAGTTTAGTTTGTGTGTGTGTGTGGGGGGGGGGGGGGGGGGGGGAGGAAAGAGTCCCCACTGAATAGTTTTCATCTTGTCTAGATGGGTCTGGTGAAAAGAGATGGGGATAAGAATCGTATGATTCAACAGTGAATAATTGTTATCATGACTTAATTGCAACTATCACAATTATAAAGGTAGAAGTTTTGTAACAAAAACAGTGCTGTGGTTAATGTTACAGTCCAGAAACAGAGGACTCTAGGGCCATCAAGGGAGAAGAGCACAAGCAGAATGTGGGACCTTATCCAGAGAAGCAGCAACACCAGAAATGTAGACAAAGCTGGGGACATGGAGAAAGGGAGCAGCTGAGGATTCAAGATTCATAGAAAGAGAGAGACAAAGAGCTGGCGGCCAGGAGACAGACTTGCTGCATGTGCCCTTTGGTGTTGTAAATTATTATATATGCCTGAGTGTTAAAAAAAGAAAGAGAGAGAGAGCTAAAATGAATAGAGAGAAATACTATTAACTGATGGTACATGGAGAGGATTATAACCATTGTAATGAAACAAAGTATATGAATTGTTGAGTGTAAAACTGATGATCTGCCCTGTAAACTTTCACTGAATTCTCAACAAAAACTTGGGGGGAAAAGATAATTTACAGCCTTGGAAACCCTCTAGCGTCACTATGAGTCAGAACCAATTCCATGGCACATAAACACCATCAACAATAACACAGCAACTGTTCACCCAATTTCACTAACAACTTGGATAAAGCAAAGACATTCTCTATTTTGAACTTCTGGTATGGTGTTGTAGGATCAGCACTAGACTATGAACCACAATGTCAGCAGTTTAAACCCACTGGTTGCTCCACCGAAATGCTATACAGGGTCGCTATGAGTAAGAACAGACTCAACAGCACTTAGCAACAACAAAAATTCTCTATTTTGAACTTCATACAGTAGACATTTCTTTTTAATTATTTCTCTCTGCAAAATGAATACATGCTTCTTAATTAAATTTGGGAAAAAACTAAATCCTTAATTTTGTCACTATTAAAATACCACCACTCCTAGTTTGGTGTAGGATCATAACTGGACTGTGAACCACAAAGGTCAACAGGTCAAACCTACCAGCCGCTCCTTGGAAACCCTAGATAGAGCCAATACGAATACGACTCAACAGCACTTAACTACAACATTAACACTTTGATCCTGTTGTTTCTTCTATGTAGAAAAATCTTTACCTAGTTATCAGCAGTCATTTAATGCATCATTCCTTTTTTTTTTTCTTTTCAATTTAATATAATGAAATAATTCTTTTCTTACACACCTGTAGTACTGTTCAGCAGGGAACTTGGTCCTCAGAGAAGTGAGATGTGTTTTTACTGTACCAAAATGCTCTCGAGCTTTCAAGCACCTCTTTGGAACTGATCACCGAAAAAAAAACAACCAAGAATAATGAAAAACTTCCAAATTTCAAATGCAGATCTGACTTAATAATATAGTCTACCTAGAAAAAGTCAACTTTTAAAATTTCACAACCAATTGTAGAGTATACACATCGCTTGTCCATCTCAAAATATCATTTCTAATTTCCCTACTAACTAATGCTAAATAGGAGTCGTGATGTAAGCACTCAACCAAAAGGTCTGTTTGAACTGTTAGGTCTGCATTTCAAACTCACCACCTGCTCCTTGGAAACCCTATATGGGACAGCACCATTATGGGTTAGAAAATGACTCGGCAGCACTTACCGGCAACAACAACAAAGTGCTTCAGAATAAGCAAACAAAAACTTGATGGGAATATGTAAGGAAAGGTAATGATAAGGTGTCTTAAATGACTTCAACCTTAAAGGGCTGTATACCAGATCCTACTGCACCCAATTATCCGAAGACATCTAGAAATTAAGAGTACTTGTTAAAGAGTTTCTGTCAATAATTCTTGATCATGATGATCAACTCCGTACCATTAAAACCAATGGAATGGCACCAGTGAAAATCCTATGGATCACAGCAGGCTGATTAAAAAATGGCTCACTCCTTCTGCATATGGTCACCGTAAGTCAGGTGATGACTTCAAGAAAGTCAACAAGAACCACAGCATCAAATCTTGCCTGTAAATGTACTCCTATAAAATTATATGATTATGTCAATCTCCACCTGGAAACTTATTTTAACTATATTACCAGTGTTGGCTACATCTAAAATGAAGGTTCCATGTCTAAACTTGACATACTTGATTTCCATATGAGGGGCTGACTGTAAATACCTTGATTTAAGAACATCTTATATTGACCATCTCCTATTTACAAATGCATGTAAAGCTGTATTCAGTCACTGAAACAGTTGATTTTTTTTAAGCCAAAAAAAGTTGCTAGATACGTAACAACAACAGGGAGCCCTGGCATGGTGCTTTATGATAAGCACTATACTCCTAACTGCAAAGTTGGCAGTTCAAACCCACCAGGTGCTCATTGGAAACCCGATACAGGGTGGCAATAAGTTGGAAATGACTTGATGGCACTTAACAACAACAGAGTTATTTAACAACAGTGACCCTGTATAGGGTTTCCAAGGTGCAGTTGGTGAGTTTGAACTGCAGTTCTTGAGGTCAAGTACTTATCCTATGGCACACACCATAGAAGTGAAAAAGTAATTAAACAGAACACTGTAAGTCTACAAATTATCGACTCATTTACTTCTCCAATTCTTACACACCAAATACTATAGTGGACATTTTTCATAATAAAATAATAAACTTGATATACCTTCTGGTTGGAAATTCACTTTCTAACTAAGATACTGATAAATTGGATGAAAAAATAAAAGAAAAACAAAGTACTTACTGTCCTGAAACCCAGAACCCTGATGGACCCCTTGAAGTAGAGTTAAAATCTCCCGAGCTGTTTGCTCTAAACTCTGTACAACTTTTCGAATTTCCTAGAGAATTAAAAATAAAAATATCAGATAAATTCAACATAATTATAATCATAGTCAAATATACTAGGTAAACAATCACACCTGCACATACATTCAAAACACCAATGATCTTTACTAGGTAGGGCTGAACTTGTAGACAGTTTGACTCACTTACTACATCATCTGAGAGTGCTTTGAACCAGGCACTAAATAGTGTAAGATTCCTCATCTTTAGTCTTCAAAGAATAGCCACCCACCCCATCCCCAATTATCTGGGAGGGGAGGCTACAAAAATTAAGGGTCAATGTATGTGAATATAACTTGTACACAATTAGACACAATAACATTCAGTTTGCTACACACTGTAAACACTCAAAACCAAGCAAATAATCCCTTCCCGACTGCCAGAAGAACAAACAAACAAACAAAAATAATCCATTCCCTCTTGCAGTTTAAAGTATAGTGGGGAAACGGGAAAATTTTTAAGTGACACGAGTAATGAAAAAATCTAAGCGCCACGAGAAAACAGAACAGGAAAGGTGAAACTGAGATTGAGAGGTGAAGGAGATAAACATGAGATAACAACTAAGAACGTGGAGAGCACATTCATGCCTGAGTCCTGGAGCAGGAAACTTGTGTGTGAGAACTGAAGAAAAACAGAGATTAAAACCAGACCGCGGAGAGGGAATTTGTAGGGGACAGTATCGTTTGGACTTACAACCTATGTGGTACAAGAAGCCATTCAAATAGGAGTCATAGGGCTATTAAGAGATCAACTATAAATCATGAAATGATCCAAGGGCTAACGGAGTCTTCGACAAATACAAACGTTGTAAAGGAGGAAAGCTAACATTCAAATGAGGCCGGTGACGGGCTCGAAGCCAAAAGAGAAGCATCCGATGTGGAGCGCCCTAAATCATTAACAGAGAGAGCTCTGGGAAGGTTTCCAAACCGCCTGAGACAGAGGGAAGAGGAACCCGGGTTGAGGTGGTCCAGGAAGACAAGGAGAAGAAAAGGGGATGGAAGGGAGGGAGCTCGCCTCTCGGATGTCCTGCTCCGCAGCCAGGAAGCCTTGAAGCTCCACAAAGATCTCGCTCACAGACATGGCGCTGGTGTCTCAAAAGTCAGCCAGTGCAAGGTTGGCGACCAGAGAAATGAGCCCTGGGTACAGCCAAGGCAGTCAATCGCACAGCCCGCCGCCGTCGCCACGACCACCCGGCCCTACGCAAGCGCCGTCGCAGGGGTCCTCCGAGGTCCTCGACGCGCCGGAGTCCAGGCTGCCCGCCGCGCTGCCTGAGGCGCCGTCACCGAGTCGGGAGTCGGGTCGTTGCCTGAACCCGCCCAAAAGATTGGGAAGAAGGCAAGGGCAGTTTCCGTCTGAAACGTTTGGAAAGGCCAGCGCTGCAGGATAATGCACTGAACTGCCACTGTATGTTATGATCTACACAGTCAACTGCCTTTGGATAGTCAATAAAGCACAAGTAAACTTCTATTTGCTCTTCTCTGCTTTTTTAACGTCAGCAGTGATATCCCCAGTACCACATCTTCTGAATCAGGCTTGAATATCTGGCAGCTACCTGCCAATAAACTGCTGCAACCATTACAAAAATATATTATTCGTTTTTTATTTTTTTGTTTGTTTTTTAACTTTATATTGTGAATTGAGTGAAGGTATATTACATTTCTTTTAGGCTACCCAGTAATTTACTAATTTCTTTCGCAAATTAAAACGGTCTTTTTTATCTTTAAATGTACTTGACTTCCTTGCCGTTTGGTATTCTATAACTGCTGTTGCTGCTGTTGTTAAACACCGTCAAGTTGGTTCCGACTCATAACGGCGCTGTATGGGGTTTCTAAGGAGTGGCTAGTGAGCTTGAACCGCCGACCTCTATAACTGTACTTTCCCTTTTTTTGTGCTGTAGATGTCTTCATTATAGACTAATATCTCTGGCTCCCTATCTTCACTCTTGTAGGTTTTTTTTCCTCTGGATACCTCTATTGTTGTTGTTAAGTGCTGTCAAGTCAGTTTTGACCCATAGCGACCCTGTATAGGGTTTCCAAGGAGCAGCTGGTGAGCTTGAACTGCCGACTCCTTGCAGTTCAAACAGCGTTGCAGTCTGGCACATTAACCCACAGCGCCGCATCAGGACTACAATACTATATCTATATTGTATCCTGGGTGGAGCGTCTGTGTATGTCAATATACAGTTGTCTGCTGTTGTTGGTTCTCAGCTCAAAGAAATCCCTTTAGTGTTTTTTATAAAATTGGCTTAGTTTTCACAAATGCCTTTAATTTCTGTTTATCTGGCAATGTTCTCACTGTGCCACCGTCTATGAGTGATAGTTTTGCTTGGCATATGATTCTTGGTTGACAGTTGTTGTTGTTTTTTGTGGGGGTTTTTTTTTTTCAGAGTTTTGTATACGTCTCCCCATTGCCTTCTTGCCTGCAGGGTTTCTTCTGAGAAGTCAGAACTTAATCTTACTGGTTTGTCTTTGTAGGTAACATTTTGTTTCCACCCACTTCTCCCAAAACTACTTTCAGGATTCTTTCCTTGTCGTTGATTTTGCAAAGTATCATTGTGGTATATCTTAGTGATTTTTTTGGGGGGGTCTGTCTTGTTCAGACCCATTCAGCTCCTTGAATACTTATAATTTCATCTTTCATAATGTTAGGGAAATTTGTTTTCAACAACTTTTTGACTATTTTTCCTGTGGTTTCCTTTTTCTCTTCCGATTCTGGAATATTCTGATTACCTACAGGCTAGTCTTCTTCATGTTGTCCCACATGCATCATAGGCTTTCTTCAGCTGTCTGTTATTTTTTCTAATTATTCTATTATCCTAATATTGAAAGCTTTATCTTCAAGCTCACTAATTCTAATATCCATTGATTCAGTTCTACTCATTTATTCTTTTAGTGTATTGTGTATTTTTGATGGTGGTGGTGGTGCTTATGTGCCGTGGAGTAGGTTCCGACTCATAGCGACCCTGTACAGGGTTTCCAGGGCTGTAAATCTTTATGGGAGCAGAAAGCCTCCTCTTTCTCCCGCGGAACAGCTGGTAGTTTCAAACTGCTGACCAATTCGTAACCACTACGCTACCAGAGCTCCTTACTTGAGTATTAATCTGGATTTCTGTTTGCAGGTTTTGTATTGTTTCCAATGCTGTATTTATCTTGTTTGATTTTTTTCCTGTAGCACTTTCTGAATTCTTGCTTATTTTCCTTGACTTTTCTGTGAAACATTTGGATGTACCTCAGTATCATTCTCCTGAATTCTATTTAAAGTAGCTCTTTCCTGGGGCTCACAACCTCTCAGTGACTCTGAAAGCCTGAAAAGTGGGAGACTCCTAGGGTTGTACAGAGAGTAGAGTTCCAAATCCCCAGCATAAGAGAGAGTAATAAGCATTTTTTTTTTCCCAACAAAAAATATTTTGTGACTTTTTATGATGTTCTAACTTGTCTTATGTGGTACAGTAGGATAAGCACTGGACTGCTAACTGCAAGGCCAGCAGTTCAAACCCACCAGCCACTCCTCAGAAATTCTATATAGGGTTACTATGAGATGAAACCAACTCAACAGTCCTTAACAACAACAGCAAATTGTCAGGACTTCATTAGACTCAGCAATTTGTTTTACCTCTTTTGAAGGCAGATTGTTCAAGAATAAACATTAACTCTTTAACTCAGTGACCAAGAAACACTGTGTTATCTTAAGTTTATCCTAAGTGAGAAACCCAAGTGTTTGCTTTGTATGTTATTTGATGTTAAAGCTTTTAAATATTTTTATAAATCAACATATTGAACTTGTAACTACAAGTAAGCTAAAGCCTTGATTATACCAAGCAAGTATCTTTAACAAACTTACCACTATTCCTTGCCTTTGTATATATTTCCTTTACTACAATCATTCATAAAAATGTATGAGCACATCCTTTTTCAGACCAAAATAGACATACACATTTTTCTATTCTCTGTGGCACAAGTTTAGCCTTTCATTTAACTTTTCTCTGTTTGCAACTTAATTTATATCCTTTTATTTTCTTTCATATTCTGGCCTGACCAGACTTTCCATTTTAAGACAAAACTATTTTCTTTTTTACTCTTAAGAAATTAACCTTTTTTATCTTTCTATTTAACCTATTCTTTCTTTTTTCTTAAAAATAATTTTCTTTCAAAGTTGCTATAAACACAAGCACCTCTGTTAATATGAATTCACTTCATTACCTCTTTATAATCTAGACAGTTTAGTCCACAAGCACTCACTTGTCTTTAAATCAAATCAGAATGAGTGGTTATAAGCCAGGTACAATAAGCAATTTTTCTCCTAGGAAAGAATTGTGATTTTTAGATTACTTAATGAAAAACATTAGCCATGGACTCTAACTTGATTATCAAAATAGAAGTTAGACACAACAAACTGTCAAAATAGAATAAAACAGAAAGAATATGCCTAGTTTAAAATTTAAACTTATAAACCACTGTATAACATAGACATATGGGCACTGAGTTTTCTTTATTAATTAACTCTTTGGTGTTAGCAATACAAAGGATATTTGACCACACAACGTTAGGAGGAATCTTTATTTTGTTTTCCCCCTAGGATTATAACTGGAAACTCTCAACAAGGGAGGCAAGATGGCAGACTAAGCAGAAAGGCTATGCGGACTCTCTGCAGCAAGAATACGGAAAACCAGACAAAACAGATGAAGAGGGTGGTCCTGGAACTCTGAGCTTCAGAGGAAGGATTAGAAACTTGCTTACTGGGTGAGAGAGTTGAGTAGACACGACAAGAGAGGTGACTGATGGACAGTGGCAGTAAACTGGACCTGCTGCAGCCATCTTGGGAGTTCATGAATAGCATTAGAGACAAGAAAATATATTCGTGTTGCAGAAACCTACCTGTGGCTCACAGAGACAAAGGTACAATTTCATTTTTTCTTATTTTCCCCTGGTCCTTCACACTCCCCTGGTGATCAGAAGTGAGGCAGGCCTCCACCAACGTACACCACAAGTAAAACTGCTTTCCAGGTAGTCAGAGCCACTCAGAGATGGAAATAAAGGTTGTGAGCCATAGGGAGGATCTATCTACAATAACCTCACAAGGACAGGCTCTGCTCACAAACTGAAATTCAACCATGGCCATCCATGGAGGAAGACTCTTTAACAACCTGCAATGTGCAGATGACAGCACACACGAAAGGGTTGTTGTTGTTGTTTGGTGCCATTGATTTGGTTCCAACTCATAGCCACCTTAGAACAGAACAAAACACTGCTTGTTCCTGAGTCATCCTCACAATCATTGTGAAGCTTGAACCAGTGGCTGCTGCCACTGTGCCAGCTATCTCTTTGGGAGTCTTCTTTTTCTATCTGACTCTCTACTTTACTAAACATGATCTCTTTCTCCAGGGACTGGTGCCTCCTGCTAATATGGCCAAAGTATGAGAGATGAAGTTTCATCATCCTGACTTCTAAGGAGTATTCTGGCCATATTTCTTCCAACACAGATTTGTTTGTTCTTTTAGAAAAACATGGTACTTTTAATATTCTCCAACGCCATAACTCAAATGCATCAGTACTTCTATTGTCTTCATTATTCATTCATTGTCCAACTTTCACATGCTTATAAAGCTATTGAAAATACTGTGGCTTGGGTTAGGCGCACCTTAGTCCTCAAACTGACATCTTTGCTTTTGAACACTTTAAAAATGTCTTGTGCAGCAGTTTTGTCTAATGCATTGTGTCATTTCATTTATTGACTGCTACTTCCATGAGTGGATCCAAGCAAAATGAAGTCTTTGACAACTTCAGCATTTTCTCCATTTGTCATGATGCTATTCATTCGCCCAGTGGTGAGGATTTTTGTCTTCTTTACATTGAGGTACTACCCATAATGAAGGCTGTCATCTTTGATCTTCATCTGTAAGAGTTTTATGTCCTCTTCATTTTCAGCAAGCAAAGTTGTATCATCTGCAAATCATAGGTTGTTAATGAGTCTTCCTCCAATCCTGATGCCATATTCTTCTTCATGTAATCCAGCTTCTCAGATTATTTGATCAGCATACAGATCAAATAAGTATGATGAAAGAATGAAGCATGAGACAAAATCTCACCACCCTAGCTTCTTAGAAGCTTTCTGTCTGTACTTCTTCCAAGATAGATTTGTTTCTTCTTCTGGTGAAAGTGTCCCCTTATTCTGTTCAAACAATTTCCTGAATTTATCTACTCATGTTTGGTTCATATGTCTTGTGGATATATACCAAATGGAGGGATTGCTGGGTTATAAGGTATTTCTATTTCCCAACTTTCTGAGGAAGTATCATACCATTTTCCAGAGTGGTTGAATCTTTTTTATAGTTCCAT